CCCCCCCCGCCCCGGGGGGGGGGGGGGGGGGGCGGAGGTCTCGTGTCTCACCTCCGGCCTCAGCCCCAAGCCGCCTCCCCGCAGCGCTGCCGCCGACTGCCGCTTCCGGTCTCCGGGTCACCAGAGGGGCGCCGCCGGCGGATAGAGCGTCTCCCCAACTGACAGAGCGGCCGCAGCCATCTTGGACGAGGGCAGGGAGTCGGCGGCGGGCGGGAGGAATAACAAGCGGCAGGCAGGCTTGCTGCCAGGAAGTGACGAGTCCATTCTGCGGCTGAGGTTGAGGCTGCGGCGGTCATTTTGGAGTGTGGCTAAGCCGGGGGGTTGATGTTGCGAAAGGCAACAGGGGAGAGGGCAGCCCACCACCCCGCAGCCCCTGTGGGTGGCACGTGGGAGGCTCCAGGGATAGTTCATGCGCTGCCCAGGCCCAGGCTCTCCTGCTCCTGTGCCTGCACAGGGCCCTGAGCAAAGTGCAGCAGCTCTTCTGCCATCCAGCAGGCGCAGAAGGCGGTGTCTAGAGCCTCAAGGCAGGTGGCCTGAGGTGGTGATACTCAACCGGGGATCCCTCGAGATGCTTGCAAGGGTGCCACACGGTGTTAGCTCTGTGCAGTGGGCAAACACGATAAGCCCGGAGGTCTCAAACAAGCGTTCCGCCCTGTCATGGGCTTCCTGAGCTCTGTGCAGCACACGCATTGCTCTGTTATTTTTTTTACAGAGTCAAAAAACCGACATGAAAACCAAGAGCTGGCACCTGGTGAGGGGGAACTTGAACCCAAGAGGCTTAGGGAACTGAGACAAGCTGGGGCTCAGGCTTTACCTGGCTGATCTCCCACAGCCACTGCCTAGCTCCTCTGCAAGCACTGTATATAGAGTTTCATAGTTTGTAGGTTCAGAAGGGACCTGAGCAGACCATCAAGTCCAACCCCCTGCCATGGCAGGAAAGAGTACTGGGGTCAAACGACTCCAGCAAGGTGTTCATCTAGCCTCGTCTTAAAGACCCCCAGGGTAGGAGCCAGCACCACTTCTCTTGGAAGTTGGTTCCAGATCCTAGCCGCCCTGACTGTGAAGTAGCGCCTCCTGATATCTAGTTTGAATTTACCCTCTGCCAGCTTGTGACCGTTATTCCTAGTCACTCTTGGTAGTGCTTGGGGGAACAGGGACTCCCCCAGTGCCTGCTGGTCCCCTCTAACTAGTTTGTAACAAGCCACTAGATCCCCCCTCAGCCTTCTCTGTTAGGTTTTGAAATGGGGTACCCACCCAGGCCACAAAAGGTACGGAGGGATGCCACGTGTTGAATAGGGGAAGGAGTGCCTCCAGTCCAATGGGGTTTAGATCCACTGGCTTGCAGCCTCTTAATTAGGGCACCAGGAGGGGAGAGTAAGGCATGCCCACTTTGTCATTCAAGGCACGGGGAGGTCAGGTGTGGTGAAGCAGCTCAGTGCTGCTAGGACTTCAATGCCTGGGGCAGCAGCAGAAACTTAGGGACCTCTGTGCTGTGATCCATGGAAACTTAGGTACTGAAGGAGGTTAGGCCCATACAGAGTTAGGCCAGAGGCCTGCCAATGGATATTCCCTTAAAGATCACACCTAGGTACTTAAGTCCCCTTTGCAAATCTGCCCATAACAGACTTGCCCAGGAAGCTTATGGCAGAGCAGGGAATTGAACCTGGTTCTTCCAAGCTAGCAGTCCAGCCACAGAGTCATTCATTCTCTGAGGTCCAATCGTCCAAATGCAGGTATCCTGGTCGTACATGTACTCCCTTACTCAGGCACTGGAAATAGCAGCAGGCCCTGAAACAAACTCAGCAGAAAGTGGAACGTTACAAATGCAAAATACATAGATCTGGTATGTAGCTGCCAACAGTGCACGAGCCCAGCAGATATACTTGGGCAGCATTAGGACCTGAACTATGACCTTGTGATGCACAGAATTCACCCCCCAGGTACCATTTGTCAATCCCCAATTTTATAAGTAGGTATGGGAGCTTTGGCTGCCTGAGGCTACAGATCAGACTGTGTGAAACCTTATTTGTAAGAAATCAGTTGTATGTGTACTGTAGCTAGAATGGCCATCATAGGGGACATTCTGGTTTTCTGCTGCTCTGTCCTCTGTTGATATGAAACCCAGCACCTTTATGCCCTCTATTTTTCTCTTCAAGAAAAAAAATTGAGAACATGAAGGTGTCCAGTTTCATATCAATAGAGGACAGAGGACAACTGGAATGTCCTCTATAATGGCCACCCTAACTGTGGCTGGTTACGTATATATACCTGTTATGATGGACACAAAAGAGTTTGGTTGGCATTGAAACCCTGTTGCTCTGGACATCTGTAATGGGTCCCCTGCCCCATTACTGAGAGGGGGAAGAAGCCCAGGGTCCCCCAGCTAGCCCAGCCTCTCTGAACGGACACATAATGGCAGAGAGGCTTAAATAAAATGGCGACCTGCCCCAGGTGTGGGTAATGATTGGCAGGCTTGGGGCAGAGAAAAAGGGTCAGCTGACTCAAGGAGAGGCTCATAAGTAGGGACCTACTTAATTCACAGTCTGCACACCCTCACTGAAGAAATTTTTCCTAATGTTGAGCCTTAATTCATCTTCCAGGAGTTTGTGGCTATTACTCCTGGTTTTCCCCTTGGGTGCCCTGGTGAACAGTTGCTCACCGAGCCCTTGATGTACTCCCTTAGTGTAGTGGTAAGCTGCTACCAGGTCCCCTCTCAGCTTTCCTTTTTCCAGACTGAAGAGTCCCAGATCCCTCAGCCTTTCCTCATATGATTTGCCCTTTAAGACTCCAATCATACAGGTGGCTCTTCTTTAGACTCTCTTAAGCTTGGCCATGTTCTTGTTAAAGTGTGGTGCCCAGAACCGGACACAGTACTCCAGCTGTGGTCTCACCAGTGCTGAGTACAGTGGAAGAATCACCTCTTTGGCTTTGCTGGAGATGCATCGATTGATGCACGCCACAGTATTATTTGCGCATACTGGCTACAGCATCGCACTGCTGGCTTATATTCATATTCTGGTCTATTATTACCCCCAGCTCCCTTTCATTCATGGTACTAGTCAGTTTGGTGCCACCAAGCCTGCAGATGTGTTGGGGGTTGCTCGTCCCGAGGTAGAGCACTTTACATTTCTCAATGTTGAACATCAGGTTCTGATCTGCCCAATTTGCTAGCTTGTCTAGGTCCGCATGTAACTGTAGCTTATCTTCCAACGTGACCACACTTCCCCATAACTTGGTGTCATCCACGAACTTGGCCAGTTTCAGAAGAAAGACTGGCATGTCAGAAGACTGGGTATCTGGCAGTAATGACTGGGGGAGCATAAGCCCTGGGCCCACAGGGGATGTGGCTAAGTGGCCCAGATGTATAGATATATATATGCAGTGTGAGGAGCATGTCCAGAACATCATCCCCATCAAGCCCTGGCCCCATCTGTGTGCCTATGTCCATTCCAAGTGCCCAGGGCCCCAACTGACCTAGGAAGAGGTGTGTGACCTTGTGGTGCTCTGTGGCAGGGCCAACGTCCAGAGGCAGCTTGCATGGGGTGCATGCTTGAATGCTCACATTTATGAGGCCATTTCAGCTGGGATGCATGCACAGGGCTGCTCCTGGATGGCGCAACAGTGTCACGTGAAGGCTAAGGTCTTCCAGGCACAGTGGGTGGCCATGACCAGCTTCAATTGTTGGTCTGGTCATGCCCAGATGACCATGCTCTTCATGCAGGAGCTGGCCCACATTTTGGCACCCCAGGAGAAAGGCTACCTCCCTGCGAGTGCAACCAACAGGGGTGGCCTGCCCTCACCCACACCCAACTCCGGGGGTGTGGGCTATGCAACTGTCGGCTGCCAGCAACGCCAGCTCCTCCCTGGTGGGGGCACCTGCCTGGGCGCTGGCCTGCTGCTCACGGGACACTGGGCGCAGCTGGATGCTGTCACTGACGGGGAGCCCTGTGCCAAGCTACCAGCCTCACCAGCCCTGGACACATGGTAAGTCCTGTACTGGGGGAGGGCCCTCCCAGTCCCCAGCCCTACCCCTGCCTCGGCCCCCTGTCCCGCCTCTCTACCTGGCCCACCTGCACTCTCCTGGCCTCAGGTTCCCCCTCATAGCATGCAGAGAGACAGGGCACAGTTTAAAACTTTATTGAGCAGCCCGTGTCCCCGCAGCTGGGTGGGCACAGGCCTCTCACATGCCAAGAAAGGCATTAATGCTGGTGGCAATGTCCTCCTTGGAAGCAGGGGGCAGGGATGTGTAGTGATGAAACAGGTAGTCCTCCCAGTGGCATTGGAGGTGCCAGCAGCCTGGCCTGGCCTGCCCTGGGAAAGAGGTAGGGGAGGCAGGCTGCCTGCAGCCAGCATCCAGTGGGCCACTGGCCCATGGAGCAAGTGGGGCTGGGGGGCTTGGCCAGTGGCCACCTGGGTCCAGCCCTGTCTAGACAGCTTACCATGGTCCTTGGGTAACCACGCACAGCCTATCTCCCATCTGAGGCCGGGCAGCACAGGGCCCCCAGTGCAGAGCATCTTATTTCTGCAACATTGCAGACTTGCAAAAAAGCCTTCTGTCTCTTGCCTCTGCATAGCCAACTTCTGGATGCGGGGAAGATTCTGCAGGACCCTGTGGGAATGCCACAGCAGGGTCACTGCCACCCCGCTGCTGGAGCTGGCCAGCTGCAGCAGTGGCGCACCAATGACAGGGCCCCCCTGCTTCAGCAGCTGGTGGCAGCAGTTAAGAACTGGGCTGCGAGGGAGCAGGCACAGCAGCAGGCATGGGAGCTGGCCTGGCAGGATGAGGGCATCACCCAGAGACTGTCTGGAAGGAGGCACGGGATTGGGCACAGCAGGCACACTGGGGCCAGCTGGAGGCCCTGGAGCAGTGCTGTGTGGAGCTGCTCCAACAGCAACTGGCCAGCCAGGGTCCCTGGATCCCACCCACTGCCCCACAGCAGATCCTCACCTGGGCCTTGGAGGAGGGCCTCTGCCATCTTCTGCGTGCAGGAGCCCCTGACATTTGCTGTGGCTCCCGGACCCACAGGGGAACTGTCCATGGCCAGGATGCTGGTTGCCTGCCACCAGGCTCTG